ATATGGACTATAGCCGAGACCACGCGGGTCCTAACTCCCTGTTAGCAGCACTCCTCTCTTCTGTTCAGGTTTTCACAACATTGTCGTTTTAATTTATGACACAAACCTGTGATGTCTGACTGCATTCTGCAAAGCTGCAGAGCCGTCATGTTGATGAAATCTGACCGCAGACAGTCATCTGAACACCTGGCAAATTGCTTAAACTGTTCCCCTGGAGCTTTCTGCAGCAGTTTGTGTCACCAGGGGCACAATTTGCTAAGATAACACACTCACACACACACACATTCCAAACTCACAACAAGAATGCCAGCCTCTAACAACCTGGCTGCTAGGGATACTTTTGCGACTGTGTCTTCATGGAACCGTTACTGAATTCTGAGACGCGTGTTCATTCAAATTCAAAACCCCAACAGAATTTCATTGCTTATTTATTGAATCATTCATTGCTGGCGGCACAGCTCTGACAGTGTGAGCACACACACTCACACACACACACACACACACACACACACAGGAAAAGATGTAAGGCACCAAGGCTCTTTGAGCTGCAGCCTTTAATAAGTGGGTCCACGGGGGCTCCATGTGATCTGGGCCCATGAGGACCCCCGTGGAGCCGGACACATCAGACAGCTACCTGTGGAGTCAGATGAGAGGGAGCATGTATCCGAGTAGGTTCTCATTTTTAAATATGAACGTGAGCGTGAGAGTCGATGACCTTCCAGATTATCACGTATTAATTTGTGCTTTTTGAGGCTGTTTTTAAACATAAAACCAAAACAAAGGCAAACAATACTTTAAAAAAATCACAGATTTTTTTGTTAACCCTCCTGATGCTCGTGAGTCAAAACGACCCAAAAGGCCTTAAAGACGGGTGTTTGATGAGGTATTTTGACCACAGGAGGGTCAAAAATCACAGAGCAGTGAGCGACTGTCTAAAATATCTCAACAAAAATTCTGTTCTTGTTTTAATTCAAGCAAACTAATATGTCCATTTGAATATAAAGGGGCCCTCTAAAAAATCTTTTTAACAGATATTTTTAAAATGTGGATGTAAGGTCCACACTTTTGAAGGTCTTTTACAAGAAAAAGCAATTATGTTGGAATTTTTCTTATCTAGATTTCATTACTATAACCTTTTGGGGCTGATTTAAATGTTTCACTAAGGCTGAATCTTTTTAATTGAGTCAAAATAATTGTAAATGTTTTTTTCTGTTTTAACCATCGTCAGTTTTCTTTATTAATTCACTCACTCAGGCATTTCAGTGAAACAAACTGAATCTTGTTAATTGAAAAAAGTACTCTGATTGAATGAAAACAATCCGAGTCATCAAAACATTATTACATTAATCATAATTGTGTCATTATTAAACCTGGCAGAAGATGTTTTAATTTATCCAACAAGTCATCTAAAACTAGTTTAACCATCTCAAATCTGAGAGCAAGCAAAATTAAACTGAGTCAATGCAAATAGATTATAGGAGACTAGTTTATGTCACTTTGAAAACCATAAATGCTTAATGCTGAAAGAAGTTCAAATAATAGGAAAATTGTTCTTGTCCTTTTATAAAAAAAAACTATCAAGTAAAAATTCAGTGTGTTTACTCAAAAACATACAGTATACCTTGTCTGTTATTTATGAGGACATCTAAAAACAGGTAGACCTTCAATATCACTGCTTCTGTGACCAGACCTTGGATTTAGTTTGACTTGATATCTTTGATGGTTTCAGATTCACTTTGTGCATTTGGTTAAAGAGACAAATGTGTCGTCATATCGCATGAAAGCAAACTTACTGCAAATATATTAATCCTCACTTGCATCATAACTACCAGTGCAGCACTGCAGGACAGGAATTAAAGAGGGAACCTAAACATGTAGAATTCAAAATTTGTAAAAAAAAAATAAAAATAAAAAAATACACAAATCATTGCCCTGGCGTCTCATTTCATAGCATCTGGTGCACTTAAAAAACTAACCCTGTTCTCTTCATCACATACAACAATGAATGGCCTTTATTGTTGTTGGTGTCTGTGCTGTGGAAGGCAGTGTGATTATGTATGCACATGTTTGTGTGTGTGCCCCAGCAGCCCCTAAACAAATTTGAGAGCCTGCCTCACGAGGGTCTCCCATCTTTGTCTATCAGTGCTGACAGGATGCTAATGTAGCATGCATGCAGTCCACAGTGGCCTGTAGCCATATACAGGGCCTCACACAGACATACGGTCTTATTATTGCTTTTCTCTCTGGAGGAGGGCGAGGGGATGGAACAGGAGGAATGATGTGTGTGCGCCGTGAGCGTGTCTATTGGTCTCCTGCTAGCCCCTGGAGTCAGCGTCAAGACCCGGCGATTCACATTCTCCACCTTCACTCAGTGGAATGGAGGAAAATGGAAAGCTGGAGAACACACACTTGTACACGGCACGCTGGAGTCCATGCACAGCCACTCACAGCGCGGCGCATCCCAGGTGTGTGGCTAAGGGATGATTGAGAGCTAACCCTGTATCTGATAGTGTCCTTCAGGGACTGAAATATTCATGGCTGAAGTTGTATTGTTATCTCTGTGCTGTTGGTGGCTGAATTCTAAATGGCACACATAAGCGCTCCTGATATTATATACAGAAACAAGAGCAAAATTTCCCGTAATGCATCAACCTCAACCTGTGCAACAGTGCCGCAGTGGCAGGAGAGCCTGCATAATATCTTCTTCCATTCCTCAAACCCAAGTCGACAGAAACAAAAACAAAAAGAAATGTTAAACATGATGTAAAACAAGAAAACCTGGACTAGACTATCTCTGTTTATAATAAAAAATGACATTTGCAGTCTGAAATGTCTGATTAAATTTTAAAAATGCTCAACTTTAACACAATGTGTACAGATCGTGTTATTTACTCATATTTCTCCGAGTGCTCGTGATAACCCCACTGTTGTTTTCTGACTCTCTTTTTATTAATGAATCCAGATGACTCCAGGCATTCAATTAGCTGTGAAATCTCTGATCAGTGTGAACTGTAAAAGCAAGTTAAGCGAGGATTAATTATTGAATACCAATCCGCTTTCTTGTTCTATAATGTGCCAAAAAAGCACAACAAGGATGTTCTGGGGAAGAGGAAGAGAAAGATGTTTTCATTTAAAGGTGCCTGTAGGTTGAGCTAAAGATAGGAGGAGATTGGGTTTTGAGTCTAACTGCTAAACTAAACATCTGTTTTCAGTGCCAAGCTTTTTAAATCTGCATGAGAAGTATTCTTGCTATGATCAAGCCACACTCACCAACTAAAAAAAGTGGGGGTATTTTCCAGGCACATAGTTCAATTCTATACCCCATCAAGTAACTGTTACCTTCATTTGTTATGAAAAAGCTGTATATATCAAAAATAAATTTGACTTTGCATCATTGCAACCAGGTGAATCAAATTCAAATTGCTTTATTTGTTCATAGTTCTATAAATAAGTTACTTCCCCAGCATTTTTGTAACATTTTTACTTTTAATAACGAATTTCACCAGTATTCAACTCATAGAAACTGTCTTATTAGACCCCCTTACTGTCGTACAACACAAACACAGTTTAGTGTTTTATATAGAGGGTCAAAGATATGGAACAGGAAGTTTCCAAAGAGATTTTTAAGGAAAGAATCAGAGTTGTTCTGGTTTCCCTTATGGGTTTGATTATTGAAAGCATTTTTTTTTTGTTTGGCTGTTCATATAGAGTAGTGTTTTATTTTTTGTAATGTATGGATTTTTTTAATTTATGTAATTTTTGTCATTTCTTTTTTGAAGATTGCCACTTGTCAAGCCCCTTGAGGGTTTTTCGGCAATTCTCCTTCACATTTGTTTTTTTTTGTAATATAGTTATGACACTTACTATACTTTTTTGTTTTATTTTATTTTTCTCTTCTTATTTTATGAGTTTTTTTATTTTGAAATAAAGATATATATAAAAAATTGCAATCTAAACGCCTTCAAACTGAACCTCCTACTGTTTCAGACACTCCCACTTCAGCACATTTCCACAACATTGCTGCTGGGGAGGAGGGCTCTGTGGGGATCTAGACTGCAGACTAAGCTCCAGGGAGGAGCTTTGTAACAGCAAGCCTTCAGGCAGCTACACATGGCTACCTTATGAGGATTTCTCAAACACGTGTGAGAGTCAAAGCAACACAACTGGTATGTTTTTGATGAGAAATTGGCAAAAATAACATGATATAAAACAAAAAAAAATTGATTTTGTATAATACCACCCCCCCCCCCTTTAAAACAAGAAGCAATTGTTGTCATCATGGTGAGGCCTGCTGGATGAGGAAAGGATGAAGGATGGATGAGGTTGATGTTCTGCACAGAAAAACCCATCACCAGCATCCTCTCATGCTGCTGAAGAGTGTTTCTCAATAGCAAGGCTGAAAATAATGACGGAGGCCCAACATCCTAAAGGTTTTTGCACATTGTGGTAAGATCAAATAAACAACTTAACACAGACGTTCCACTCACAGTGGAAGCTTTGCAGTGCAGCATTCAGTCTGCTGAAGAGGTATGGAGAAACAGACCTCAGGCTGCAGCACAAAGAATAAAACAACTGTAAAAATCCAAGTTTGAACAAGAAACGTGAATGTCAGCGCTGTGATAAAAATCAATGAATGTTGAACCCTTTGATATCACAGAGCTCATTTTATCAAGTGACTGCCTTCACACGTTCGGTCTTGTTTTATCTTTTGATTTGCTTGCTTCCACTCTCCCTCTTTTGCTTTGTTTGTCTCCCTCAATATGAGCCCCTCTTTTATTTCCTGTAGGCTTTCAACAAGTTTGTCCACTGCAATCTTCAACATTTAGGGTAGGAGGAGAAAGTTACCAAAAGCTGCAGGGAAAAGGCAAAACCCTGACAGCCCTGTTGAGGTTAGTTGAAGCAGATGAACTCTGGCTGACCTGTTAAAGGAAGTGCGCACGTGTTTTTGTTTTTCCTTTTTTTTTAACATAGCAGCCCTCGTCATAAGAGCCTTGACTCACTTCAAGATTTCCTTGGAGTATCCCGTGCTGGAGACTTTTTTGTCAGGTGTCCCGAGGCAGCTTGACTTAGGCAGGCCTTGTAGCACTCGGTCCACCTTCATGGTCGAGATGGCTGTGGCAATGACGTTCACTGCATCACGCACCCTGGCCTCGATGTTGTAGTCCCATTCGTCATATGACACAGAGATAAGCCCTGAGAGGAGGGAAGACGGAGATACGAGGTGAGAGGATGGGAAGAATGAAAGAAAAACAGAGGGGGAGAGAGCGAGAGAGAGAGAGACAGAACAGTGTGAGGATAAAGAGGGAGGATGCAGAAAATAGTAGGCAGAGCGCTGTGAAACATTCCCAGAGGGGGAAGAGTTATACAAAAATGAAAGCATTTGGCACAAGCAGCTAAATTTACTGCGTAATTATACCTCCAGTCCTCAACACAGTACTGTAAAGCACACTCAATGCCAAGTGTTACAAGACACATCAGAAAGGCTCCAATGAGTACAGAAAACATATGAAAAGACAACTGAATAGGAGCATCAGTCTAAACTACGGTCCCCCAATCGCTCATTTAGTTACACTCGGCTTTCCAAGCATAAGATCAGCAACCTATCAAACGTCAACATCTATTTCTTACAGTCAAACAACGTTTCAGGTCATTTTATTCACGGCTGGTTTGGATCTTCATATTTGTTACCTGCACTGCAAATATGTTCGCAAAAAGGAGAACCGAGATGTTCAGTAAATTCAGACAAACGGCTGCAAACGTGCTCAGTGAGTAGAAGAGTTCACCAGAGACCCGTCGTGATCTGATTTCTGATGGGCTCCGGTGAGACCAGAGCTGACATTATCCAGGACTGAGTCACAATAAAAAAAAAAGGTGAGGAGCATCAAAGTACATTTTATCTCATGCTTTTACATTTGGAAAATAATCACAGTAAGGTTGTCAGGGGAAAAGAGTCATTCCCAAAGAAAATATGAACACGTTTAGAAAAGGTTAACATAAAATCCGTGTAAGACCAACGATGGTGGTGAATTGCAAATCCAGTAGGAAGATATTTGCATATGCAAACCAGCCCATCTGTCACTTGTACTTTCTTCTGCAAAAAGTTCTGAGACCTTACAGAGGAAATATTTTTGTATCTTATTAAAAAGGATTTGCTTACAGGAGATTAAATCTGGTCTCACTGAGCACAACACAGTAACAGTTATAGGGATTTTACGTCTCTCGTGGTTCTTCTTTACAAAGTAAAGTAGTTCAGATCTTTGGAAGTGGATTTCTGTGGGGTTATGGACAGCTAGTGTCTTTATAGAGAGCTGTTCCCTTCATCACCACTGTGGCTTAACTTAGCACTAAAGATTTAACAATTGTTTTCAGATAGATGCCTTTCCTGACACAACCTGGGCTCAAACCTGCAGCGTCAGGATTACAAGCACAGATCACATAGACTAACTGTAAGTTGCAGAAAATAAAAATTGTATCACCTACAAGTTATTAACTTTGGTACTCAAACCATTCAAGATGGCTGCCACAGCCAACTCACCTTAAATCATAAAAACAACTATATCTCAGTCAATCTTACAGATACTGGGGTAGAAATCTGATGTAGAGGCTGAGAGTCCTTACATCACAAAATGTCAGCTTCTCCTTTCTAGTGCTCACAGTCACTGTGGACAGGTCGCAAGTCCATCACAGACACAAATGAGACAAAGAACCACTCTCACTCACACTTAGGGACAATTTGAGGTCACCAGTTCACCTAACATACAGGATTTTAATCTGTGGGAAGAAACCAGAGTACTCCAGAGTACGTCAAACTCCACCCAGGAAGCGGGACACGATCCTGAAACCTTCTTGCTGAGAAGCATCAATTCTAATCACTGTACCATTTGCATTACATGGTTACAAGTGCAAATATCAGCAGTAGAAGCTAGCTGTTGCACTTCTGGTGCAGCTTTAGGCACTTTCTAACATTTGGCACTGAAATAAAATAAAGCACTTTGCCTCTTTCTGTCCAGGGATGAGATGTCAGGATGTTTAGCCGATTGTTACAAGCCTTGTCTTTCTCTAAAAGTTTAATGGAATGGCTGGACTTCCTTTTGTGTTACTTGAAAACGTTTCCCCCCATTGTCATAGGGATTCTTTAAAAACAAAAGGGGCCTTGTCCTGAATGTCAGAATCTACACCAAGACTTTTTTTTTTTACTAGAAGAGGAATCTGAAGACTCGGACACAGACAAACAGGTGCTGAGTGAGAGACGGAGCTGAAAGTCTGGGTCTGGTCAGTCTGAGTGCAAAACTGTCAACATTCTCCAAGAACTCCTACTCTGAGTTCACCTGGAAACAGACAGGTTAGCCAGCAGGGTGTCAAACTTTGTGCTTCAGAGTTAGAGCTAAATTCTTTGTTTCACATCACCTAACTGTAAAATTGCCACTGTGTTTCCAAAATATCTCATAAACCGGACAAATTTTAACACATTTTGAGAGTGTAATCACTGCATATTCAGCCAAAACTGATTAACCTTTGATGTTAGCTTAGCTCTTTAGCACCCTCCCTTATGAACCTTTACAACACTGACATAAATGTTTATAAATCACTATGTCTGGGGTTGTTTTTGCCTGCAGCAGGTAAGATATTAGTTATAAAAGCTTGTTGCATGAATTGCTTCCCTTCTGTTAAATCATATGTTACCTATAGGGAAGACAGTTGGGGGGTGGTCTGCATCACCGGCCACCAGTGAGGGTACAATCCAGGTGTAGCCGTAACCCGTGAGTCCCACAGAGTGGGCCACTTCAAAAATTGTGTTCGCCTCCTCCTTGGTGCAGTAGAGGAGAATCACAGGACTCTGCAGTTTCTTCATCTGGTTCTGGATCTTGGAGTCTCCATGATTATGATCGTCCACAGACATGTCCAGCAGGAGGACTTCTTCTAGCTCCCAGCCCACGAAGCTGTTCTCAATGGTGCTGCGAATCTGGTTGGGAAAAAGAAAGAGACGACTTGAAGAAGTGTAGGCTGTGAATAGGAGGTGGAGCTGTGAAGAAGAGGAGAAACTGGAACAAAACTCACTGAGATGCCTCTTCCTTCCCCTGAAGGGCCCAGATTTACAGACAGTTTATCTACACACAGCTCTCACCAGTTGGAACCAGTGATGAGGTCATTTTTTTAACAAACAGAGTGAGATTAGATCATCTCGTTCCCAAATTCTAAAACTTTTACAACACAATTTTTTGGAAAACTATTAAAGACATGTTTTAAAGACATATTAAAAAACAACAACCCTGAGACAATGTCTGCATTTGTGTATCTATGATTTTAATGTGTCTTATGTTGTGTTTCAGTGTTCGGAACTGTGACTGGCAATCAGGTATCCATTTAAAACTGTAATTGCTTTTCTTGAGAAATATACAATATATATATATATATATATATATATATATGTGCAACAATACATGTATCCGTATCGAACCATTCAATACAGTGCATTATTTTCAATACACACTTGTATCAAACAATACAGATTTTTTTACATTTATTTTATCAACTTTTTTCTAAAGATGCTCTGTGTTAAAGGATCAGTGGATCTGTGTTCGACTACTCCACCTAGGCTGCATTTTTGAGTGCAGATCCACCGAGAAACTTGCTGTTTCAGCAACATGTAATTTAAAAACTGTATTTTTGAGGTTAAACAAATGTTTATAATTAATTTAAATAAATTACAAGTTTAAAAGGGCATGGAAATTTCTCTTTTTTTGTATGGAAAAAAAATCGAACCGTGAGACTGAAGTATTGAACCGAACCGAATCGTGAATTTTCGGTATCGTTTCACTGGCCACCCAACTTTTTGGTCTAAGGTTTTCTATTGCCAGTGACCATTGTGGGCACAACTACATTGGCATGGCACCTGGCATTCCCACGTGGTCTCCCATCCAAGTACTAAGCAGGCCTGACCCTGCTTGGCTTCCAAGACCAAATGAGATCTGGTGCATTGAGGGTGGTATGGCTGCAAATTGATTGCTAGAAGACACTAGATAACACCATTTATGATGTTCAGCAATCATCTCTGCTCAAACACAATCCGGTTTAGGTTTTATTTACTTGAGTCAACAGCATCCAAGCTGTTTGAAAGGAGCTGTTTAAAAAAAAAAAAGTTTGCATATAAGGAACAATAATCGGTACCCAAAATCTGGTCACCCTTTTTCTCTGTCTTGATGCTGATTTGTTAAAATAATGAAAAAGAAAATAAATATACAGAGGAGAAAAGAACCCGGCACAGCTCTGTGTTCTGCAAGAACTCCCTCAAATTTTGTCTCAACAATCAGCAACCAAAGAGCCTCTGTAAATACCCTAATAGCACTGAACATGTAAACAGGTGACGCATCTGAAGCTTCAAATAGAAAGCAAAGTCTTTTCCGATCGTCACAGAAAAGAGAAATGCTTCAGGCAAACCTGCTCTCTGAAGAACCAAATAAAAACCCTCAGATGGAATTGTTCACAGGTTTCCAATCAAGATGTAATAAACCTGCTGTGTGATTGCATAAACCTCTCATAATGATTCAACACACCCAGGTGTGATGCTGCGCAGCGACGTGAGCACAAACACCGGTGTAATGAAAGTCATATTTGTGCATATGACATTTCAGTCACAACGGGAATGAGGTGTTTGGGAAAATATTTGGGGTTTGTCTTGTTGTCGGCAGTGCAAGAACTTTTTTTTCTCTGAGAACAGATTAAATATCTCCCAGAAAACTGTTGATGAAATTCAGACTGAAGCAAGGCTATAACTCAGTCATTTTACTAGATGTTGAGCTAAGCTTTGGCGTGGTAGTAGCTGAGAGTCATCCCTAACATACTCAGGTCTTATCCTAATATACTAAGTATCCTCTTTCAAATTATCATTATTATTTTCTTTAAATTAGACTGCTACTTCAATGTTATTCAAAGCAAAGACACTGTTACAGCTGTGGTTATATTATAAAAGCAATTAGCTTACTTTTAACAAGCTTTAGCTTCTCAGATGTGTGTCTGATGATCAAAGTTAGTCTGACTCTCGTGCAGCTCTGTTCTCTGTCCTGGAGATAAGCAGGCTTAAGCCTCAGTGAGGGGCTGCGTTCATAACGATATCTTCAGCCAATCTGACTTTCCAATTTGGGCAATCAGAAAAGTGGGGTGAAAAAAAATAACCATGTTACAGCAAAGTCTAACAAACGTGATCATTAGAAAAATAGATACCGCGTCTTAAAACCAGAAAATGTTGTTGCATTTGTTTGGCTCATTTCACTAGCTGTGCTCTGTCTTTAAAAATAATCATTAAAAAAAGGGGGGAAATATAACAAACACAACAACACAGCTCTGATAGCAGGTTCTAAAAAAAACACTGAAGCAAAAGAAACTAATGTGCTCGGGTTCATCTGTCATTTAAATCTATGGCTGAATAGGTTTATGGCCTTTAGCTTTCAAATAACAAGAATAACAAGGAGGCTGCTGCTGCTGCAGTCAGTTCATATGAAAAAAATACACTGTTTGGATGATGTTCTCCCTCACATTTACGACCTCAGCTTCTCCCTAAGTGGCATATTTGGTGTAAAGCTGCAGACAAATGTTACATACACCAGATCTAATTGCGTTTATCGCCTATTGATGTTGTTATCAAAGAGCCTTTTTTACCTTGTTGACAAAGTCCTGGTAACCAGGGTAGTATGAGGTGACGATAGAGAAGATGTACCAGTCGTACTCCTCCATGATGTTCAACATGACGGATGCCTGCTGCTCAATGGAAGGGCCAAACTGGAAAAACATGGAGTGGTCGTCCTAGAAACCAGAGACACAGAACCAATCAGCAAACAAGGTCATGAGTCATACGGCATGAGAGGGAACTAGAAGGTAGGGCACGGATGGTTGTGGAGCGTGTCCGGCTCCTGAAAGCCTCAGGAACAAACAGAGACTTGTTTTGTGTTTCAGACTTTGTCCTCCTCTGTTTATACTTTAGAGAATAGGCAAAAAACAGGGCAGATATTCTATTTATAGAACATTTTTACTGTCTATAACTGGGGCTGTGGAAGCTTGATGGTCAATCGTGCAATCCTTCGGCTGCAGGTTCGAGCACAGACATGCATCAGAAATGTCAAATCTTTTAGAATCCCTGCAGAAGGGAGCGGCCAAAAGAAAAACATTTTATTTCTATATGTAACCAAATTCATAAAGGTGACATTAAGTCTCAAGTGGGGCACTCCATTGTTGTTAGGGCTGTGTGTTGCCAAGTATTTGATGATATGCTACATTTCACACATGGGTCACAATATGACATATTGTGACATATTGCGATATTGTAATCAAGGTGATACAGTAAATTGCCATTTTTTTCTCCAAAAGAGTATAAAGAGCACACTATGTGTTACATGCAGAAATCTGATTAAATTCAGTTTATTTTATTAAATCAGGCACCCCTATTTGTTATATACATTGATTTCTCGGTTTGTTTTATATTGTCAGGCACCAAGTTTGCAGCCATTAATCTACGTCAAAACCTTCTTCTTCAAAGAAAGAAGCAAGAGGCGCTAAAGTAAGATGTTTTCTTTTGTTACTTCAGGGGTCCGTCTGGTACTAAAATGTGGTCAAGGGCAGGTCAGTCACTCATGTAAAACATCCACTGACTCACGGGGACAGCCTAGTCAAAATGTGTTTTTTTTTTTACTCATCCAAACAACCGAAGGCAAGAAAATGCTGCTGTAATTATAGTAGTTTTATGTCAGAGGTTTTCACTTCCCACAGATTGAGACAAAGTGTTGAATTGTGACTGAAATGACTGAAGGTGTTGGTGCGTTCTTTAAACACTGCCCACTGCTTCAAGGTGTTATTTGCCAGACTTGTTGGTTACAGTTTGGATTTAAACAAAGTAGGAAGAGAGAACCCATCCATCCATCCATCCATCCATCCATCCATTTTCTTCCGCCTATCCGGGATCGGGTCGCGGGGGCAGCAGCTTCAGAAGGGAGGCCCAGACCTCCCTCTCCCCAGCCACTTCTTCCAGCTCCTCCGGGGGAACCCCAAGGCG